GTCACTGAAGGCCTAAGGTTGAAATGCACGGCCCGCCACTGCTAAGCATATATTAATACATTTTGGTAGAGAGGAATATAGGACTACTGTCATATAGGTTATGTTATCGGGCATCCTTCTAATTCCCTTGAACAACCAAGATTGAACTTTTGAACTCTTTGTAATTTCTATTATCTAGTCCAGTTAAAGTCCAGGGGAGGAAGCCCCATCATAGTAAAGAGGATACTAATGTGATGTGTGTAGTTCTTCATAGCCTCTTCATTTTGCTCTCAAAGTGCACGGAATTGATGGATTTTTAACAGAATGTAGAAAAAAATTCTCCCGGGGGGACATGCCCCCGGACCCTCCTAAAGGGGCTGTGTTCCCCTTGGGGCTAAGCCCCCCTTGTTCTTGAAACCTAGTGACGCCCCTGCTGATCACTATTTGAGGAAAAATAACAAACTAGCTTTTTTACTTATGAGTGTAAACTACTAACTACAAATTAATTCTTTAATGAATATATCTGCCTTGCTGCGACAGCGGTCCGTGTACGTTTGCACTTTTCTGGAAATGTGAAAGTCTAAACAAAAATAACTTGTCGGGTGCGTAGTTGGGAATCAATGATTCGACGATTGACTTGTTCGTGCTTGTAACGCATGCGCACTCCACGCTCGCCCTCTCTGCGAGCTTCTTCGCCATGGCGCCCATTGTAAGTAGAATCGCGTATCAACAAGCTGCTCAAACTGTTGCTTGCCCTGTTTAAAACTGAAAAACGACGATAAGGCTGTGACCTTTGTTGTCTAATGACGGTCGCCGTCCAAATTGAAGCTTTGGGGCGGCCTGTTGATGAGTTTAGAAAAGTCTCAAGTTTTTTGCGGCCTATCACTAACATTAGCTTCTGCCTGCTAAGCTCACCACGTTTTTTTGTCTAGACTGTCCTGTTTGGGCTTCTAAACATCAGTGGCTGGATTGACTAAACGCACCCCTTAAACATCGCCAATGATTGTCATTGATCTTTTTCGACTATCAAGCACCCTATGCGTCATTATATGAACTCGAATGTTGTACTGGAGTCACGATGTTAGCGTACCGACGGCTGCCGCAAAGTGTAAACCAAGTCAGGGCAACTGCACTTATTCTTATTATTGAGGCGATGTAAAGGGTGTTCCAAAACATGACATTTTCACACATGGTAACATGTCGGTGGTTCTCTGAGTTTTTAAACCAGGTACCTAAAAATATGCTTGGCTCTTTAAGTGCCACCACCACGACATGAGAATACAGTAGCATCTCAGTCTTTCAACAGTAACACTTGGTCTAAATATAGGAACATCAAAATGAAACTAAATGACTGTATTGCACTTAAGTGACATAAAAATCCTAAATATATTTTGAAAAGCAGTTATTCAAAGTTCACATGGGAATATATTGCGTTTAAATACAACTAAACTGTACTTATGCAGTAATGTCAATCGTTTTTTCTTAAACATTTACACGAAGCAGTGCCATTATGACTAGGATGAGTATCGCTAAGATTTTAACGATACTACTACTATTAAAGGTACAGTGTGTGCAATTTAGTGGCATTTACTTTAACTGTTTTGTTAAGCGCTTTGTTTCAGCTGCAGCTGTTGTGAAAGCGGTATATAAATCAGGATGTATTGTATTGTATATGTGGTGTACTAATAGAATGACACGACTTAAACTCGAAACTACGGTGCCTCAGAGAGACCACACTTCGCAAGCCGACCGCTAATTTCTTCAGCAGAGAATGAAGCAATATGTTATCTCTCATCTCATGTTGTGATCCACCTTAATCAAACACATCAAGCTCAAAAAATGTCAAATTTAAAATGGTCAGTCAGGTGTTATGCAGGGGGAAAAAAAACGACACAGACATATTTTCCTAAAGGCTTAAATAATCCACAACAAAGATGCTGAATATGAAACAATGGTTGACATTTATTTTATATTATCATGGATATCGAGGGCCAGTGCCACCACAAGATGGCTCATGGCGGCTCAATAGGGCCACCACACAAAACAAAGGCTTAAAGTAGGACTGCATTTTGCAGGAGAGTGCTTTTTGATGCCAAAGAGCTACCTTTGCTCAATCAAATTTAGGAAACACTGGATTAGACTTTGAAAATTGTAGTCTTGTAAATTTGCGTGTTTGCTTGCATACAAAGTCAGCTATACCCGATAATGAGATGGAGCAAAAAAGAATAAATAAAATACAGCTTTTTTATTTTATTTTTTTTGGGAGAGTTGATTTTGTGCTGCTGTACAAATGTGACAAAATGCTGTGCAGCTTGAAGCTCTCCAGAGAACACGTGTGTAATAAACTTGTGTTGTTGTTATTAAAGCAGAAGAAGCAAAACACTGGCAAAGGTGGTAAGAAGAAGAAGCAGGTCCTCAAGTTCACACTGGACTGCACCCATCCTGTTGAAGACGGCATCATGGATGCCGCCAACTTTGTAAGTCCCTCGTTTATTGGCCGAACAATTAGCTGATGGAGGGGCAAAGGGTATAAATATACACGAATTCGTGTATGGCTTGTTTATAACAGCCCTCCAATATGGCCGCCGGTAGTGCATTGTGGGTAATTGCTAAAAGGACGGAGCCCTCTATAGAAGTTCTCTACAAGTAACATTTAATCATAATAACCTGACATGCAAGACAATGTGCGTAGCGGGGTAAAAACATCATTGATGATTGATCCATTCAAGTGTAGCACATTCATTCTTGAATATTAAATACCGTATTTTCAAGACCAAAAAGTGCACTGAAAATTCTTATAATTTTCTCCTAAATCATGCCTTGCGTATGCACCGAGTTCCAAAATCTGCGGATGCTGTTGTCTGACTTCGATGAAGGGTGCGCTTGATTTACTGATGCTTAGGACACGCCGAGGAAAGGCGGACGTAACTGAGGACAGCGTGCGGACGATAAAGTGGGGAGGGGAGGCTCAAGGCATGCCCCCCAGTAGGTGTATATAGCATGCGCATTGTGCGAAACAACATCCCGAAAATGGCACCGACGAAGAGACACGCTTACGTAGTGCAGTTTAAACTGCAAGCTATCAGTTAAGCGGAGGACCACGGGAATCGAACCGCTGCCAGAGAACTCAAGATGAACTAATCCACGGCACTTGGTGCTTTCGTTTTATGAAACGCCCGCCATCTGTCCATCCGGGCAACGACGACCGTGGCGCAGCAACATTCGGCGGATTCCAAGGAAGAGCTGGCCAGCTTCTGCTCATAGTGCAATAAAATGCAATGTTTTGCGTTGCACTAAATAAAGACGCTTTCTTAAAAATTTTAATCCTTTGTTCTGCTGCTCTGCCAGCCTCACTTGTCTTAAATTACCAACTGTTCTCTGCCTGAAGTCAGCTGGGATAGGCTGCTCCAGCACAGCTCGGATGATGGATGGATGGATGGATGGATTTTTGTGAACGATAACACAAAAAGAATTCTACATTAACATGTTTTTCAAATATTGTTTATGCATTTTGCATAGTACATTTTAATGCGAGTGTTAAGTTATTGTGCAAATTATCTGTCCAATTTCAAGATGTATGGAATAAAATTCAATGTTGCACTCAAGTTTGCCCTCCCCCGTGTTACTGTGTGCAAACGTGTTTGTGTGTTTGCAGGAGCAGTTCCTGCAGGAGCGTATCAAGGTTAACGGCAAAGCGGGCAACCTCGGCGGAGGTGTGGTGTCCATCGAGAGGAGCAAGAGTAAGATTACCATCTCCTCAGAGGTGCCCTTCTCCAAAAGGTAAACTTTCACTCCAGCAATCTCTCTCTCGCCACCTCACCATTCATTCCCGTTACCATTAGGAATTTTTCCAAATAAAATCCAAAGTGTTGTCCTGTAAGTGGACACATTTTGAGTCACATGGATGTAAAATGTGGCAAAGGTGGTCAGAGGGGACTTGCTATTGAAATGGGTCATGTACCTAAACAGAGGGGTGCTTGGTCAAGTTAAAAAAAGAAAATATTTCTGTTTCCTCTCGGGTGTCTGCTAGGTTAGTTTTGAACACTTCCACAACTTGTATTAGTACAAAGAAGACTTGTCTAATTCCTAGTTAGCTGATTTAAGATCATTAAAAAGGAAACAGATTGGTTGTTCCTTAAGTGAAACGCAAGCAAAAATATATTTTTTTCAAATACACAATTAGTTGGAAGAATTTTTAATCGCATTAATTATGATTATTAATGTATTAGAAATATATGTAGTGTATAGCAATATCTTTAGTCTTCTTTAGACATTTTGACAATGTATACCACCACACAAGCGCCCATACCTAATTAAATGGATCTAACAAAAGAAACATGATCAGGAAACGGTTTCTGGTCCAACATACTCGTACTAAATTGGACATACAATAATTGCTACTGATGCCACTCAGTGATTCTTGATAAAGGATTAATTTGGCCAACATTCAAGTGTCCAGGTGCTCCTCAAGCCACAAATATGTCAAAATTATGCATCACAAAATGCATAAAAGGACTTATGTGTACAGTAATCCTTGTGTTTATGTGGGGAAAATTTGACAGGATCAAATGATCAGTTTTTTCTTACGCAGGTGGCTCATGTTGGCGCAGGGGTTTCCTTGTACTTTTGCACATGTACAGTATAAGTGACTGTGTTTGTGATGTCTTTTTTTAGATATTTAAAATATCTGACCAAGAAATACCTGAAAAAGAATAATCTTCGCGACTGGTTGCGCGTGGTGGCCAACACCAAGGAGAGCTACGAGCTGCGCTACTTCCAGATCAACCAGGATGAAGAGGAGGAGGAAGATGAAGATTAAATTCAAGCTGATTTTGTATAATAAAATAAATTGAATGTTTTTGGTCACATGTGGCATTTTTCTTGCGACTCATATCCAGTGTGGGTCGGTGTAAGTTCAACATATGGGAATCCTCCTCGTTTACAACCACACAGCAAATTTCAAACGAGTTCAGGCCATTTTTTTTAATTGGAATGAAAGTGTAACCAGAACAACACACACTATTAAGATCAAAGGTGTGAGAAAAACACCTTCGCTGATTTAAAAAAAAAAAAAAAACTACCTCCCCCAGCTCAAATACTTCTGACAGTGCAGCATTGGCCCCAAATGAAATGAGTAAAAACAATAGTCCCAACATTGATCTTGTGAAGAATAACAAAAGGAATGTAACAAAGCTGAGAACAAGAAAACGTACAAGACAACTTCCATAACAGGGCCATGGAAAACGTAGGCACTCATATGGAGCATCTGTCCCTGCAGACGAGAGGGGTCATGCTGAAGCACCCGTAAATCTGACAAATATTTCTCAAAATACTGCAACACACCAGACAATTAAACAAATGAGCGTGTAACAAAAGTGGAAAGGAAGCACGTCTTGGGAAGGAAGAGGCAGAAGTGCTTGACGTAAACAAGGTTTCACTTGACAAGTGACATGGTCTCGATAGTTCGTTGTGATCGTAGTGTCCAAATTGTTGGGACTGAGCCCCCCGTGAAGAGGAGACGTGTGCAAAGCGGACGCGTCTTCCTGGCCACTTGGGGCCCCTCTTGCACTAAGACTCGTCAGATTGTTCGGGGGTTGTACTCTGGCAGCTTTTGCAGTCTCTCCTGCTCGGCCGGCGTGTCCTGCCTGGCGATGATCATGGAGTGAGCGTAACCCATCACCACCTGGGAAAGCAGACATTCGAGCAATCTTAACTGCTGGTGTGGGCCTTTCTGGAGCACCAACATGCCAGTTTCTGAGCGTACGGCTCGAGCGACGTTTTGGGTCCGACGCCTTGCTCGGCAGGGTCCCTCCTGCCCATTGCGTTCATCTGCGTGCAGCCTACAATTTACTTGCAACCTCTGTCGACAACAATACACACGGGAGGCCTGCCCACCACACACACGATGCCAGTCATTCAGTGCACCTGTTCGATATAAATGCCATCCAGGGTCTTGACTTCCTGGGGGGTGGTGGAGGATTTCGGTTTGTTGTCTCCATAGCCCTACACAAATCAAACAAACATGACAAACAAGTTTTGTACCGATTGTGGCCTACAGGGTGAATGTCATGATGATGAGGCTGACGTGAAACACTTTCTCTTACCAACTCTCCAAAAGTGGGTGAAGGACCCCAGCTGATGGTGCTCTCGTTTGCAGCGATGATGATGCTGCTCTTGCTGTTTCACAGAGAGATACACAACAAAAATCGCACACACACTTAGGTCACCTCTCAAACGTTGACGGTTAAAACACGTCAACTGCCAAGGACCTACCCGCAGGCCAGACTGCGGATTTCCCAGCCACAGAGATCCTGCACGGCTTTGGGGTACATCGTCGACTCCCTGGAAGTGTTGGTCACCCCCCAGAAGAAGAGACTCCCTGCAAACATCATCAAAAATGTCTTCTTTGTTCCTGACTATCTGGACAAGATTAGGACGGAATAGAGCGCAATCTGCCACCAAACAGGATAAAACTTGCGTGGGTTACAATAACACAGCCCCCTCCAAATGTATTGGAACAGCAAGGTCAATTCCTTTTGTTCTCCATATTTTGGCCATTCCATCATTTTGGGGGAGGTTAATCTTCTCAGTCAATAAAACTTTGTTCCAAAACTTTAGTGGCTCACCTATGTTCTACTGTGCAAACCCCAATTTGGCCTTCCAATACTTTTAGTCGATCAGCAGTTTGCATCTTGTGGCTATGGCCTGTTTATTTCTTCTTTCAGAACTTCACCCCAAGCCCCGAAGGAGGTAGGCACTGATGTCACTACCGGTTGCCTTTCGGTGTTTCGTCACAGCGCTCGCATTGTTTCTGTCTGCTGTCAATATCGTTGGCCAACCTGTTGTCTTTTTCGAAACATTCCATTGTTCTATCGGCTATGCCCAACGTGTGTGCAATCGCTGCGATTGCTTTTACCTCTTCTCGGCTTCAAAAAGGTTGGCTTTTTTTTCCCCATTGACAGCTCTCTGGGTTTCATATTTGCTGAACAGCAAATGCAGTTTTCACACAGGAGGTCAAAAGGCCAAAACAAGCATCAAATGTTTGAGCCAACTCCAGACACTCAGTCACATCTTCCAATACTTTTGCACACCAGAAAAGTGGGTGGCTCTATCCTGAGTTGGCTTAACACGTCGAGATGCTAATACCACAAACTAAAAGCTGGAATTCTTAATTGTTGCACATTATTCTATGCAAAATGTTGTATTCCGTAGTTGCCGTCTGTCACAGCCGTCAAGCATCAAAGAGAAAGCATTCGCTTTAGGATACTCCTGCTTTGGTGGAGGTCAGCCGTACTCTAGTCCAGCACCATTCGATTTGCAAAGTGAAGCCCACCACCGAGTCTTACCGCTCTCGCTGATGGCGAAGGAGCACTGGTAGCCTGTATGGATGTGACTGGCCCCTCGACCGGGGAAGTCGAAGAGTTTCACCAGGCGAGGAACCAGCTCGTCCTTCTGCTCGGTGTGTCCCAGACGCCCGTAACCTCCGAAGCCCCAGCTGAATACTCGCTTCTGAGAGTCCAACACCAACTAAACGCACAACACGGGCTTAAACACTCAAAACGGGACAAGAAACGTATCCCTCCGTTGCAACTTCTCACCGTGTGGTTGGCTCCGCAGGCCACGTCCCGGACCACCACGTTGGGCACGGGCGTGACCTGGCCGTCTTTGGACTTCTCGATGAAGATGGCGACGCGGCGGGGGATGAGTTCGCAGTCAAACTCGATGCGCTGCGCACGAGCTATGAACTTGCCATCGCTGTTGTGTCCTGCGGTGAGACCAGAGAAGAGGCGAAATGGCACAAATCGACTTGACAGTCACATTCAACGTGCAGCGTTTTAACTTGTTTTTAGAGCTCCGAGAGTTAACTATGTTATTTAAAACATTGCCTGTACATTTTAGAGATTTCAGAATGCCGAAACCTCTAATGTTTAAATTTGGTACATTTCATGAATCACTATTATTTGTCAGTCCTCATGTGGCCCTGGTATACGACATGTGATGGGGAAGAAACTTTTGGAGCAAGTTCAAATCCGACGAATCCGTTTAATTTAAATCGAGGCAACTCGTTGTTGACGACGTTTAATCCAAAAATGTTTCTTCACTTATGAATTTTGGACTTGCATTATGTTATCTGGATGGATTGTTAGCCACAGGAAGGTAAATGAAAATTGTCTGGCATTTTAAAATGAAATGAAGGACTGAGCTCAAGTGCTTCCATCTTACCGAGCTGTCCATACTCAGGGCAGCCAAAAGAATAAAGGTTCCCTTTGCAGTCCACCACCATGCTGAACTCGGCCCCGCACGACACCTTCACCAAGGGCTGGCCATTGTAGGAAATCTGGGCACCCAGACCACAACAAACTTGAGTCTTTCCGGCTGGGACTGGATCGTATCGTCATTGAGAGCTGGCACTTACAGGAGCTGGGCTGAGGACGGCGTCCGTCTGGCTGCCTTGGCCAAGCTGACCCAACTTGTTTTCACCAAAGGAGTGCGCAATGCCATCCTCTAAAGAAAAGAACCACCAACACAAGCGTACAGGACCATTGCCAGAACTTTCCATGGTACTTTGTGGTTGAGTAGTCAAAAATAACAAGGAGCCTGGTCCATTCCCAGCACAGGCGAGCTGCCCAAGCGTACCTGTGAGTGCCAAGGTGTGATTACGCCCGCAGGCTGCAGCGACAACCACAACATCCGCCAGGCCTTCAATCAGCTTGGGAGCATCCAAACGTTTGGTGTCTCCGTGGCCCAGTTGCCCTTTATCATTGCGGCCTGCCCAAATATTGGCATACGTAGCATGTTGTTGAAATAAAAAAGGGGGGGATTGAAAAATACAAAATGACGCAAATTTATTTTGGACTTACCCCAGCTCCACAGTTTGCCTTCAGTGGTGATGAGAAGGCTGTGAGCAGCACAAGGGCCAGAAATCACGCAGCTAACCAGGACGTCATTTAAACAGCCGTAGCGGTGCGGACTCCACAAATTCTGGCCCAGGTTGCGGAAAGCAGCTGGAAGACAAAAAAAAAAAAAAAAAAAAAAAGATTGTGCAACTAAATTAAGGGATTTCAAACATTTTTTATGTGGCATTATCACAATGCAATATATTACAATGAAGTAGGTCAAACAACTTTTGCTTTGTAATCTGACCACGCACTGGATTTTTCTGGTTGCATGTTAAGGTCACAGGATTCACTGCTGCAAACAGAGAGGAGCTAAGTTAAATTCCCCCTAAGAAACAGACAATAAGATTTGAACATGGTGGAAGGCAGTCACAGAGTCAATCTGTACAAGCCCCACTTGAGCAACGACTGTGAACCAACTACACTCATGTAGAGATGTCGGATGAGTCAGAGCTTTTCATTATCCCAAAGCTAAGGTATTTGAGTCATCTATATTTGCAAGTATGTTTTGTTTTATGGTCACGTCGGTACGCACGTTTAAGCTTTCACTTTTTTTTAACTAATTAATCGAATCCGTTTATCCTCACGAGGATCGCAGGGCATGCTGGAGCTTCTCCCAGCTGTCTTCAGGCAGCAGGCGGGGGACACCCTGAATTGGTTACCAGCCAATCGCTGGGCACACAGAAAAACAACCATTCACACTCACAATCACGCCTCGGGATAATTTAGAGCGTTCAATCAACCTATCACGCATGGTTTTGGAACGTGAGAGGACACCAGAGTACCTCAAGAAAACCCACACAGGCACGGGGAGAACACACAAAACCACACAGGAAGGCCAGGGATCCCCGGACCTCTGCACTGTGAAGTGGACATGCTAACCAGTCGCCCAACATGCCGCCCTCTACGGAAATGATGTGCTTGTAAAATGTAAGTTAAACAAACAAAAATATTGACTGCACGATGGCAGACAATTCTCACCCAGTGGAAGATGAGTATTAAGAAAAAAATAAAAGCCATATTTTGACATACGTGCAACCTCACAGATGTACAGCAGGTGCAGCAATCCTCACCAACATGGTCTTTGTCTTAACAGCTGCTACAAATAAAGCTGCCCCCCTCCCCCAGCCATCCAAAAAAAAAATCACAAATCCCTTTGCAACAAAGCACATTTATCAGCGTGCCCGCAAAAGCATCAATGCGCCCTCTACAGGGGGGAGGGGTGTCCACCATATGCATAGATATGAATAGACATTTGCGTCATTATCATTTAATGGGCATTCACTGGTTCAGTACAAGCTGTATTTCCATGGATGAGTAGTTGTGATCTATGCTGTGACTGCTGTGGCTTTTTTTTTTCACAGTTTAAAAGTCTGGCCTGGCATTCGCAGCAATTCCACAGTTACATTTGCCCATCCCGTTCCCCCACGTTGTCGCACGTCCATCCTGTTTGGTCTGTGGTGGCCTAAGAACGGATTGCCTTGACGTATAGTAATGTAAATGGAGCATTCACAAGGCAACAAAACGCTGGCTGGATGAAAGTGTACTTTCAACACAGCGGTGTGCCGCTCAGGCGAATTCTGCCTGACAGACATGAGTGAATTAACACTTGCTTTTACAGCAAAATTTTGTGTGGATACAATATGATTTTTTTTTTTAATAATTTAATTTTGCGGGTTCTTGCATGAGTGAAAATCTTAACTCCTGCAAAAGGTACATAGGGTTGCAGATTTTTTGAATGCAAATATCCCCAATGTGGGACTAATAAAGGTTATTTTATCAGATGTTTTCGAAACAAAACAAAACCGGAGAAGTAATTAATTATTAGCAACACAGATTTTTAACACATATCACACTATAAAATAAGAAATATTCTACCTTGTTGTTTGGGCACCTCTTTTCTTCCAATCAAATCCCAGTTAGTTGCTCCAAATATGACTAGTTGACCTTTAAGCTTTGGACATTCAAGTTTCTGTACAGAGGAAATGCAAATGGGGAGTCAATCTCACAAACGAGAAGCTGCATAATTATTATTACTTTTTTTTAAATTTTTTAAATAAACGACCGCAATGGACTCACAATTTTCTCTTTCACATCATCTGCCACAGTGACGGGTTGCAGAGTAGATTTGATGGAAGGCTTCCCGGGCTTTTTGTTGTTCTCCTGTTCATAGTCAAACTCGTCGTCACTGCTAAAGTCTCGCTCTTTCCGTTTGCCACTGGCTTTCTTCTTCTTCAGGGATCCGTTTCCCGAGACGTCAGTCACCTTCTTGCGTGGCATTTTCAGTCAAAACAGCTGCAAGCAAAAACAAAAACAAAACGTTGTGAGCAACTTTTCTGTAATTCCGTAACCGTAGGCACAGGACGACAGCAATACAGGGTTGTAGTGGTCCTTGGTTTATGGCAGTCCTGATATACAGCATTTCAAGATTAGGAACGATACGCTCCGTTCCCGCAACACACACGCCCCC